TTTTTGGATGTATAATATTAAAGAAAGAAATTTTATTGCAGGTTGTCCTAATCCAGATGAACGATATTGATCAACCATCCGGGTCTATCCATGTTCTGCACATAGGGAAGATGAGAATAAAACTTCGAAAGGGGAAAACAACAATAGCCAAGGAGTACTATTCCAACTCAATGCAGGTTAGTCATATATGGAATTATAACAAGCTATTATTTTCTGTACTATGCAAAGAACTTTTCTTCTCTCTCGAGTCATTTTCTGGACTAGATTCCATGGATATTTGGAACATACTAAGATCCCTTCCTAGAAATGGTTCAGTTAAAAGAAGAGACTCCTTGGAGAGTTTGAGGCAAACTATATAAAAACCTCATCGTTGCATAATCAAAACTGTGTTGGAAGATAGTGGACATATTTTCAGTTAGACTAACGCTCAATGGCAGCTAAAATAATCCGTACATTTAAAGCTGGAAAATAAGATATTGTTAGAATCTAGATCATTTTATCTTCTAACAGACATTCTCCTAAAGTTTTACAATTAATAAATTAAAAAATGGCTAAAATAATAAATCTAGAAAAAGAAAACTTTAAAAAGAAGACCTTGAAAAATATAATGAACTGAAAATTCTGAAGAGAAACCAAACAAACTAAAATCTTGAAAAAGTTTCTGAAAAAAAAAAAAAAAGCTATGATTTGTTTGCGTTGGACCGTCTGATACAAGTTTTTGCCTTGTGTATCATCTCATCAGCTGTGTGGGATTAGAGGTGGTGGAAATGCAGCAGCTCAGTCAGTATATTGGCAAGCAAAGAATGGACTGTCTTTTATTTTGGCATTCGAGTCCGAGCGTGAAAGAAACGCTGCTATAATGCTAGCAAGAAGATTCGCGTTCGACTGCAATGTAAGCATCAGGATTCTAAAAAGGGAATAAAAATAAGTCACTTATATACTTTCACTTATTTGTCAACATCACAACTGTTCTTATTGACTGGGATTGTATATTTTCGCAGATTATGCTTGCTGGGCCTGATGACAGATCTGCATGAGGAATTTTCACATATGTGGACCCTCCAACTAAAAAACCATAACATAGGAAATGTATTATTATATAGCCAATGTGTAAGTGTTGTCTTTGCATCATTGAGTGAATTTGTAATACCTTGGGTTTGGTTTTCTCAGTTGCTAGGCCTTTTTTCAGCTGCCTTGTTCTGGTTCCTTGATTTTTATTTATTTATTATTATTATTATTTTTTTTTTTTGGGGGTGAAAAGAGTTTATCTGATGTGTAAAGAGTCTGGGGGAGTATAAACCAGGTCTATTTGTAGCATATTGTAACTACATTGTTTAATTGCATGCTTGATCATGGAGACTGACATGTCATGGTGTCTAGGTTGTCATAATAATGTTCTTTTGTGAGAATTTCAAATATAGTTTTTATTTTGCTTTTATCATAATCGCAGAATTTTATAATGCGCTTTTGTATTGCGATTTTATTCTAATTTTTACCTTAAAATTTGTTATAATGATGCACGAATGAGTTGCGAATTGGTCTCTGGCTCTTGTATAGCCTCAGGAAGGGATTCTTGACTCAAACACACAGCTCAAGTCAGTTTACACTCCAATAAAATTTTTATACCCAAGAAGTGTTTATAGGTTTCCATGCATGTTAAAGCTTGTATGTACGATTAACATATGCCCATCCAGGCATCCCTGTAAGACTCTAAACTCAGAGTTAGATCATTATAACTTGCTCATACTAAGCTACTCCATGAGCCGATAACTTTCTTAATTGAACCGCTGAGTTCACTGTTCAGCTGACAAATTGGACCAGACTTTCCAACTTTTTTTTTTCCAAACGATAGATAACTCTAATATTAATGCAACTACAAATACAATGTTCATAATACAATACAACAAACCAAAGCCGGTAATTGAGAGAACCATACAACCTGGTGGCCTATATACCGAAACATACATACAATCTCGGCAACTAAACACACACCCTAAATGGGATAAACACAGAGACAACCCTCAGACTATTTTTCCTTAATACATATGCATAAGTATACTAATCCTGCATAGACTGCAATTTCTTCTCTTCATCAAACCTAACTCACCCTGCTTGCCAAGAAGCTTTGCCAATCTTGTAAAGCTGCTTGAACAATCAGCCGTGCAGGCCTTCTAGCACGCTCAAAAATCCATAAATTACGTGATTTCCAAAGCCACCATAGTATGTATGTCGAGAGTTGAATCCTGGCTTCGAAAATTTCAGATTTGTCCATTTTGCAAACCTGCCACCACCACGCTGAGGTCTCTTCCATTGGACCGGGGCTAGCTTCCATGTTTGTTTTGCCTGTTGACAATGAAAAAATAGATGTTCAATTGTTTCCTCTCCTTCTCCACATACCTGGCATATAGTATCTACATCCATGCCCCTTAATTTCAAATTCTTACTGACTGGCAATGTTCCATTACAGCATTTCCATAGAAAATGTTTGACTTTCCCCATAATATTCAACTTCCAACTCCTCTTCCTTACTTTCATTTCTTCTGCTAGGTCTGCACTACCTTGTGGTTTGAGCTGTTTGAGGTATTTTTCTGTGATAAGTTTGGTATAAGTGGAATGCACAGTAATTCCCTTTCTTATGCACATTCCATACCCATCTGTCTGCCTGACTTTCCAACTTCAATATTAAATTCTTCAATATAAGTAGCAAAATCTATTATTCGTCAGTTCTTGTTTTATAATTTTTGAATCATCTACTTCAGTAAAAACTCACCTCAGCACATCAGGAGAAGAATTTCTTTCATTCTGAACAACATAACTGAACACTCCTCTACCAAGTACTTAGGTCTGCCACTGGGGATTGGTAAATCAAAAATCCAAACTTTCTCCTTTGTTTTGGAAGCTGTGAAAGGAAGAATCAATAGCTGGAAGAGCAAATTGCTTTCACCTGCTGGCAAGGAAGTCATGATTAAAGCCATCATTAATGCACTACCAATCTATGTCATGGGCTGCTTTAAGATTCCTTTAGCTGTCTGCAAAGAGGTGGCAAGTCTGAGTGCCAACTACTGGTGGAGCAAAAATGGAGACCACTCAAAAGGTATACACTGGATGAACTGGAATCAGATAACTCTCCCAAAACAGCATGGTGGCCTTGGATTCCAGGATGTCAGGCTATTCAATGAAGCTATGCTAATGAAACAACTATGGAAGTTAGCCACTCAGCCTGAACTCCTTGTATGCAGAGTGCTAAAGGCTAGATATTTCCCACACTTGGATTTCTGTGATGCTAAAAAGGTTGAGGGTGGTTCTTGGCTCTGGAACTCATGGATGGAGGTCAAGCCCAAATTTGATAAACTAGTCAAAGTGCAGCTCCTCAGTGGCAATAATACAGCTATCCTGGGATATCCATGGGTTCATACAAGGGGGAATCAGAGAATCAAGTTTAAGAATGGTGTTCAATCTTCATGCACACTGGTAAAGGATCTGCTGTTAAGTGATGGACAAAGTTGGAACTCAGAGCTCATTTTTCAATTATTTGATGATGAAACTGCAGAAGCTATCCTCAATATCTCTGACTTGCAGCCCCACATGGAGGATGGATGGCAATGGCTGGGAGCTAAGAAAGGACAATTCTCAGTTTCTACAGCTTATTCTTCCCTCATTGCCGGAAAAATCTCATTGATTGACAAACCACAAAGCAGCTCAAATGCACTAACAGACATGAAAATCAGAGAGAGAACTTGGAAACTGAAGATCAAGGGGAAAATTAAACACTTCTTGTGGAAGTGCTTTTCTGGGAACTTACCTGTTAGTACTAAGCTTTGCAGCAGAGGACTGAATGTGGATCCTATGTGCCAGGTCTGTGGTGAGGAAGCAGAAACAATCACACATGTTTTTTGGAAATGCAGAAAGGCTCAACAGGTATGGCACATAGCACCTATTAGCTGGGAATGTTTCTCTCTTCCAAATGCATCCTTTTCAGACTGGTGGTGGTCAATGTGTTCTTTGAGTTCAAAAGCCATAGATGAAAGCAGAATTCAATTGACTACCTATCTACTGTGGTGGCTATGGAAGTCACGCAACCTATGGGTCTTTCAGAAGCAAAAGCTCCCTGAGCTGTGTCTTATAAGACAAGCTGTTAGGGAATGGCAGAAATTTTCTTCTATCTAGTCATTTTGTGAAGGATTTGTTAGATGATCTAGGTCTGTTTAGACAGTTTTTCATCTATTTTGTCTTCTTAGTGATTGGCTTAGTTCAGGATCTCGACTCTTAGCTGCATGGACTTTTGTTGGCATTTAGACCCCGCTTTAGGGGTCTCTCATTTCATGCGTGGTTTTAATTTGTATTGTATTTGAACAGTGTACCNCATATATATCAGGATTAGATCCTTTCAGTATACCTTTCTATTAAATCAAAACCTAAATTTATCATTTTAGTTTCAACAAAATTGTACATTTTGTTTTATATAAATATACTTTAAAGCTTGAAATTAATTCTAAATTTATTAAATTATAATTTGAAGATGTTAAAAGATTGATGAAAAAGTTAAAAGAGCCCCCTATGTATAATTCCCTAATGTGTTGAGCCTAAGTGACAGACTCGCATACTTCAAGATCGTTTATGACAAGTTTTTATGCTTCATTTGGCTTGGATAATTTTTAATTTACTTCTAATGGAAAAATAACTAGGACTGGAATAACCGTAAATATACTGAATATTTATGATGCTTTTTAGAGCATTAATTATGTTTTAGTATCATTTCATATGTTAGACGTGATGTATAATGCATAAATTTTTTTATCTCAATCATTCTTTTTTCCTCGTTTTTATTTTATAATTATAAAAAGTTTTACTAATTTAAATTATAAATACCTTTAAAAGTTAATAAATATTTTATTTATCATCAATTTTTCTATGTATAATATATGAAATTAATTATGTTTTGATGAGCTTCAACTAGACATCTATATTGTACATACAAAATAAATAAATATATTTATTTTTATAATAAAAATTAATTACTTATTAATACTAATTGGAAAAACAAATTATTTAAATTAATTTTGTAGTTATATCATATAAGTTAAAAAAAGTTATTATAAAATAATATGGTAATTTGTATAAGTGACGAGTGTCAATTTAAATATAAATAATAATATAGTTTTTGGAAAAAATATATAAAAATGAAAACAATTTTTTATTATTTTTAATTTTAAATATAAATTTACTAACAAGCAGCCGTGTAACACATGTGTATTTTACTAGTGTGTAATATTATAAGTAGAAGTAGAATAGTATTGGATATAATTTTTTTTTTAATTCACCCTTGAAGAAATATAGATAAAAAAAAGTTAAAATTAGTTTTTAGAAAAGTGGGCATGATTTAACTGGTATATTGAAATTAATGTAATAATAATATTAATTATTTATTAATAATATAAATATCCAAGTAAATGAACGAATAACATATTTTGTTGTAATTAGTATAATAGTAATTATTACTTTTTTTTTTATTTTTTTAGTAAATGAACGAATAACATATTTTTTTTAATTGTGTTGGTGAAATTGTAGGAAAAAATGAAAAGGCACAAATTGTATTTTTTGTTACTATTTTTGTTTAATTTCCAGTTTCAATAAAATAAATCCTAATTCAACATACAAAAATAAAATTAAAAAGATCATACTAGATCGCCACCTAAATCCCCTCTCTCCAACCCTCTAATTCCAAATTAAAGACGACAGAAATACAGGCAACCAAGCTGGAGCTAGCATTTGCCAACACTACATTTATACTTTTCACTTTTTGCTTTCGGAAGTGCTTGCCAAATTACTGGAAAAAGTATAACAAATTCAATCTTATTCAATGAACATCCTAACTTCAAAACTTCTCTTTCATTTAACAGTCCTGTTTTACACTTATAACATTACATATCCCTCACAGGAAACCATAAAAACCACACCTCACGAGTAAAACTGTCTAAAGTTCTCAAATTC